AAAAATTAAGTTGGAAAACAAGGATATAATTTGTGGGTCTTGAAGAGATAAGTTGTAATAAGGGTGTGTGAGTTTTAAGTTAGTTTTGTGTATTTTGAGGTTAGTTGGATTAGTATTATGTGGTATGCTTATGTTTGGTTTAAGTTGCTTATATTGGGTTGGAGGAAAAATTTTCCGGTTACTTTGAATGTGAAATGAGGACTCTAGAGCGAGATTTTTCAGTATTTCAAAGTTTGAACTTATTGTTCTCGATATTTTGAATGTTTTTCTGTGATTGTGACAAAACTCATGTTTAACTCTAAATGCAAGTTTTATGCCATTTTACAAAAACGGGACATGCTGTCCAACACAGTTTCGGGAAAAAGACTGCAGCCGCTGTTTTTAGCCAAACAAGGCCTTTAGAGGCTGAATTTCAGTTTTCTCTAAAAATGACAATTTTAGATCTTGATGAGACGAAGAATTTTCGTGAAGAACAGATTTTCAAAATCCGAACCTAAGATGTAGTAAAATACAGATTTCAGAAACTGCACAGTTTTAACTAAAACAAAACTAACACAGTGTTGGTTTTAATAAAAAGTTATCAAAGAACCCGAGATTTGATTTCAGTAAAATACTATGGTGTTAAACCTTGTTTTAACGGAAGAATTTGTAAAGAAAGTTTTCAAGAAAAAAAATGATTTCTTTAAAAGAGCTTAGTAGTTTATCGAGCAAATCATCCCGACGGGCACCTATGAGCCCAATACGATAGGCCCTTAGAATTTCAAAGATTGGATGTGGGTCCAACGCCCGCATTTAATTCAAGAGACCCCATTTGAGTTTAAATTTTAACGGCCTAAGAGTTAGAATGCCGTGAATAAGTTCTAGGCCGAATTGGGCCTTAATATCATAATAAGTCCAATGAGGTAAATTATAGAGAATAAGCTACTAGATTGGTTAATTGATTATGAGGAAAATAAGATTTGGAGGATTTAATAAATTGATTCTTATAGTAAATTATCCTTCAGTAAAGAAAAGGAATACATGCCTTAAGGAAAGGGCTAGATTTCCTTCATATGCTGCTAAAATAGAATAACAAACGACAGATAATCTCACACTCTCAGTGGGTGTTCATTTTTAGAAGTAAGCAAGTAAGAGAATAGGTTGTTTGGTAAAAAGTGGATTCCAGCTCTGTAAATTAGGTAAGTAGGAATCTCGCCTACAGAATGAATAGATTTTAAAGAAAAAGTTACACATGTTATATATGCATGTTTATGCTTTAAGTATTGTATGCGATGCTATGTCATGCTGCATACACATAAGCAGTGCACATGAATTATATGTGTTTGAGTTAATTTAATGTTATGTCTACTATGCTAGATCATACTGCATACACTTAAGCAGTGCACATGAATTATATGTGTTTGAGTACACTCCATGTTATAGTATGCTATGCTATGTCATATTGCATACACCTTAATAAGTCAAGAGGAACTTATAAGAAGAAACTCAGTTGAGTGCCATACCAGCCTCCGCAAGGGAGATAATCAGACTCCGCAAGGGAGATAAAGGAACAAAAAAAGGTCCTCCGCAAGGGAGGCATTCAGTTCAATTTAAATCACAGTGTCGTTGGGGACCTTACAAACCCTTACGTTCTGATGATTGCGCGCAAGTGGTACGAGCACTCAGGCCCATCAGTAAGAAATATAAGATAAGATAAGATAATAAGACTATGATAAGACATCATAATTTAGCATAATCAGCTCATGCATATCTATTCATGTGTTCTTATAGTTATTTTGCGAGAGATAATTCCTATTTGCTGAGCGAAAGCTCAATCAGATATGTTCATGCTGTAGGTAAGAAACCTATCAGCAATTCTTGAAGGGCAATGGAGAGCGACGGATGAATGGTGGAGATGGGAATGGATACCGCTCACGCAGTCACTTTCCGCAGTAGTTAAAGTTTTAAAAGATTTTGATAAGTATGTCTATAAACTTGTATTTTTAGAAGTTTGTAGTATAATGCTAAGTTTGTGTAAACTACCAGAATGTATGTCGTTATAGTAAGTTTAAAAAGAAAAGAAAGATAGAATGCTACATCATTCCTATAACATTTTAAAAGAATACTACAACATTCCTAAAGCCTTTTAAAAAGAATGCCACAACATTCCTATAGCATTTTAAAAGGATTACTATAGTATTCCTAAAGCATTTAAAAAAGAATGCTACAACATTCCTACAACATTTAAAATAAAAAATGCTGCAGCATTCTAAGTAGCATTTAAAACAAAAAATGTTCTGTAAATTTTAAGAAATCCCAGTAAGTACAAGTTAAATTCAGCTACAGTGACGGCCTCTAAGGAGGGTCATGACATGCATGATGGGCGGTCATAGAATTATGACCATCGGTCATAGTACTATGGTTAACAACTTTGCTTGCTTTTCTTGTTTTTTTTTGTATTTATTATTTTTTTACCATTTTTTGTCATCTTAGAAAAAAAGAAAGGCTTTCGAGGAATAGATGCTGTTGATAGAATGTGACATCATAGTCGGACGATATCTTCACAGGAGCTTCCCCATCTTCAACAACATATCTTAAGGATAAACTTTTTCCTTGTGGCCGAATCCCAAGCACATTTCTCACCAAATCTATAAGACCAATATAGGTTGTGTTGGTGGAGGCCAATATCCCCTTCATTTGACAACCGACGTATCTCGAAGCACGGTCCCAATATCCATTGTACTTGACGAAGACGTTCAATCCAGCATCAATTCCTAAATAATTTCAAACACTATAACTATTAATCAACATGCAATTACTCCCAGTCATCAACGAGTCATTAGAAATGGCCAGTCATAACACTGTGTAATGGCCGGTCATAATGCAGTCATAGTGTGCCAGTCATAATACTATGGGTCATTTCAGTCATAATATTATGACCGGACAGTTATAGCATTATGACTGCCTTACGGTCATAATACTATGATCGGCCATTTTGACTCATATTGTTATAATTTGACTCATAGACAATGACTCATACTGTTATGACTGACTGGTCATAATATTATGACTGGACATATAACACTATGAGCATAATACTATGACTCCCAAGGTCAACTATGTCTTTGATGTGTTGGTCGTTACAATCAGTTTACATATCAATTATAAACCATCCAAAATCTCAAATTAACGAAGGATATTTTCAATTCCTATCACATTAAGTTCAACCCAGCCATTTTTTCAAGTTCTATATACTAAGTCTCCCGAAAAATAAATTTAAAAAGACATAAATAAAATAAAAACAAAAAAAAAATTGTATACCAACCTCGATCTGTGCACAACCGGAGTATTGGCGATGAGGGAATGATGGTGTAGGGAAGAGAGAGACCGAGTAGAGAGAGGCCAAACTTGAGAGAGAGAGAGAGAGTCAAAAATGGGGTGTAGAGAGAAATGGGGTGTAGAGAGAGAGAATGGGCGGGAGAGAGTTGAGAGTTTCTTTGAGGTGCTTTTAAATGATAATTTTGACCTAAGTGGCATATAAGTCATTTTACCTCACACTGCTGACATGACAATGCTAATTATGAAAATATACAAAAATTGTGCTAAAATTAATAATAATTTATTCATGAGTGCTATTATGGAAATTAACCCTAATATATTTCGATTCCAAAATTATCAATCTCTAATCCCGGTCAACTAAATTGGTCTTTTTTTGTTTTTTTGAAGTTAACTCAATTGGGTTTTTTTTTTTTTTTTTTTTTTTTTTTTTTTTTTTTCAAAACAAAACAGAAACTCGATTGGTATTTTAGTATCTTCCTATTATTTATAAATTTTTTATAGGATAAAGGCTGGTGTGCACGATCAGAACGACAGTAAAGCATGTCAAAGTCCACACTAAAAAATAAGCTCTTCTTCTTCTGCCCTCTTTTTTTCTTCATCTTTTTTTTTTTGTTTTTTTTATAATTTTCGGTGACACCCAAAGAAAAGCTTTATACAACTTCTTTCCAGAACTACAGGTCATGATTGGAGAGATTCTTAAATCCATATAAACCGTTTAAAGAAAGTTATAATTCCATAACAACTAATATTATCATTTTTTTTATTAATGGTCCAACTCTAAAATATTGTCGCCCTAAAAACTGCAAAATCATTGTTAAATATCCGTTCCTAAAGTGTTTAGTGAGAATTTAAATTAACTGTCTAATTTTGAATCTTCTATTTAATTTTGATATTCAAAATGATGTCTAACTGATCATATTATACCACATTAATTATAAAATTTGAAATATTCTTTAATTGACTTTATCATCATTGTTCATTTGAGACACTAAAAATTTGACAGGTAAATTTGAGCCTGTTCAGTGTTCACTACACATTGCGCACTTTAGTGGCGACAAGGTCATCTCTATACGGTTATCGTCTAATTGTTGGATGATGTCATATGACGAGATTTTGTGAGAAAACATTTTCAAAAAATGTCCTCATTAAAAGTCTTTTGTAAAAACTAAATGATTTTCTATGGATATTACTTTGAAATTTTTAATACTCAAATTATTTTAAATAATTTACAAGAAAAAAATTGTATATTATAGCTATTACTCATTCATCTTCACCAACATGCATAACCATCATTAGCATTATTGTTTTCAACAAAAATCGTCATCAATATTTAAAAATAAAAGTTACTCAAAAGAAAATCCAAAGAATAACCATCACTAGTAATACCTAATTTTATAATTCTCCGAGAAATTAAATTGGTTTTCAAGTCAACTTAATTTTTCTTATGCATATGGATTGATAATTGATATCAAAGAAGCTTTCTTAATTAGTACATCACAATTAGATTAGAACTCAGAAAGCAACTCTTCCCATATATCAAATCGCCAAAGTCAACTTACTTCAAGCAAGACAAACTCTACAAATTAAAACACTTGGAAATATATTAATTCTTTTCATATACTTGCATCCATACAGGAGATTAACTCTTCGGAGACAGATCACATTCATCACACAAGACCAAAATGGAAGAGCTTCGCCTGGCCGCAAGGGCATACTACAACAACAGCTCAAGTGATCTCCAAAACCTGGCCATTAATTTCTTTAGATCAATGGACGCCAACCGCGACGGCTGGGTCAGCTTCCAAGAGTTCACCCGGTTCCTTCGCCATAACGGCTATAACTGGGTCAATCCCAACATGTTCTCGCAACTCGACACCAACAACGACGGCGGTCTCGGCTTCTGGGAGGTCCTCACCTTCTACTACATCATCAAGACCAGGGCCGTCTGGTGCCGCGCCTGCGGTGCGCAGCTCCATGGCCTACATTTCACTTGCGTTGCATGCTTCGACGGCGGCCAAAACACCTTTGATCTCTGCGCTAGGTGCTATGGAGGACGACAGTTTCGCCACCACCACAGGGTTTTCTTAGATAACTATATTTTGCTGAGGAGCAAGAGGGGCATTTCTCCGGGTACGAATGTGAATCTGGTATGTAAAGGAATGTATGTTTCTTTTTTTCCTGTATTTTCTTTTTCTTTCTTCTTTTTTCATTTTTTTTTTTTTCCTGAAAATTTTTGCCTCATCATGTTATATTTTTTCACTGTAATATTTGCAGGCATTTACGCAACCTCAAACTAGTAATCAATCAAGTAGGGTAAGTTTCATCTCTTATCTCTGATCTCTCCTCCCTGCAAGCATGAAAATTTACTTGCATACATTTAGTTGTTTACTTTGCATGGCGTATGTATGTAAATTTTTACTAGTTTTAATGATCTAGTTTTAACTTTTTGAATAAATCAAATCAAACATCAATACAATTAGCTAGGACACCCAACCAAATTGGCACCCCATCTTAGACATATATATTAGTTGTGCCTTCCTTTGATCTTACGCTTTAGTTCAAGATGAGAAAAAGATTAACTATGGCCTAAAATGGAAAATTAATCATTTGATCATGAGGGCATTACATCAATATATACAATCATATGAGCCTTTGTTGTGATACAGAGACAACATGCGGATCAAAAGAGAGTCGAAAGCCCCTCTCTGGAGAGTACTTTGAATATTAATTCACATTTTAAGTTAGGGAAGGAGTCCCCAAAGCAAAATTTTGTTGAAAGTACTTTGAATATTAATTCACATTTTAAGTTCGATTGCCATTGTTTTTTTTTTTTAAACAAGGGGCGCCGTTTTAGGATTATTTCAAATTCCTCAACTGATGTGGATGTACCGTGATTTATTGATATTTGTGTAATAGTAAGAGGTCAGTTAGGTAAAGGGTGAACAATTATAAATTTTTTGTGTTCTTATTTAGTTGTTTCTAACCATACTGTTAGTTTACCAATCCATCCTAAAAGCTTAAGCTGTTCGGAGGTAGACCAATAATAGTTTTGCAATTACAGTAGTTTGAATTCAAGACCTACTCTGATACCATGTTAGTTTATCAATCTATCCCAAAAGTTTAAGCTATTAGGAGGTGAGCCAATAATAGTTTTATACTTTAACACATACATTAACCTGTTTCATATTTGACAATTTACATTTAAACTCTCCAATTATTAACTTGTGAATGTATATTCAATTCTGACATTTGAGTACGTTAATTTTTCAGAATCAATGGTTTAGAGCATTGGAGTTGGCGGTTGGTGTCGGGAATTTGCTTAATGTTGGGAGTACTCTAGTTGGATGCAGCATTATGTAATTTATAATATCTCTGCTAATTAAATGAAAATCTAGCAAGAGATTGTTTGGCGTCAATTCTTTCAGCTTCCCTTATTTTGCAGCATTATGTAATTTGCTTTTAAGTTTCTTCATTTTCAAAAGAATTATATATCTATATCCATATGTATTTTTGCTGGTTAGAACAAAACGTAAACACAGCCATGCACGAGAGCCTGAACACATACACTCCCTAGCTAATTGCATCAACATGATAGCTAAGTAAAAATCGAAAATACAGGGGAAAAAAAAATCATATGTCGCAGATTCTTGCAGTTTAGAGCAATATAGTCATGAAAAAGTGAAGTGGATAATCAAATTAACCGAACTTTTATTAAATCTCTTAAATTTAGTTTTTTTTGAAATCATTGAATTTTTTCTTTATTTTTGACAGTTGCATAAAATCAAAACTTGTTCATTAAAACTTCTAGTATTAATGATGTGTGTAATATTCATGATTACATAATCCGGGCAATGTGAAGAAATTAAAGCATCTGTGGCCCTTAATTTAGGATATAATATTTGGCAGACTCTTTCCACACTGCTGGTTTGGATGCAGTATTATATAACACATTACCTGTTGAAAATACAAGAATGAATATTATTGGTTTGAAGGCTCTACACCTAATTAATACTATGTAATAAAACCTACTATACTGCTTAATTAAATAAATTGGTCGTCCCAGATTTGGAAGATTAATCTCTAGCTAGCATGTTAATTAATGATTAAAAGTTGGTGTAAATTTGTCTCTATCTGCAAGTTACGAGATGTCTACAGCTTTTCTTTTTGTTTCTGTTTTCTTATTGTATGTATAATAACATTTTTAAAGATAATATTTTTGTATTTGGTTTGATTGGGAAGTGTATATTTGATTGAATTGACAAATACTTCTACCAAGGAATTGTGCTTTGTTGGGTTGGATTATAGTGACTAACGCAATATTACAAGTAACTTACGACTCAGACACACAAATTAAATACAAGAATGAATATTATTGGTGCGACGCCTGCTGCGCACAACTCCACGGCCTACACTTCACTTGCGTTGCGTGCTTCGACGGTGGCCCAAACACCTTTGATCTCTGTGCTAGGTGCTATATCAGACGACGGTTTCGCCACCACCATGCGGTTTTCTTGGATACCTATCTTTTACTGCGGAGTAAGAGAGGGATTTCTCCTGGTATGAATGTGAATCTGGTATGTAATAAAGATTTTTTTTTTTTTTTGTCAATTTTTTTTTCTCGTCATCAAATATAATGTAACCCTGTAATATTGCAGGCATTTACGCAACCTCAGACTAGTAATCAATCACAGCAGGGTAAGTGTCATCTGTGATCTCCCCTTCCTGCATTCTTTGATGAGAAATAATTAAATACTTTGATGAGGGCATTGCATTGCATCAATACAATTATATATACATACAAAAACACATTAAGTTGTGGATTCTAATTATTAAATTAACATAGAGACAACGCACATATCGAAATGGGGTGAGAAACTGTGACACCCTTTTATACCATCTCTTTTATAGGCTTTCTTATTATTAATTCTAAGAATGTACCACAATAATTAATCTTCACTTTTCACTTATACGAAAACTATGGTGTTTCAAAATTTTTGCTTAAACAATATTTCGTTAATACACCATTCCTATTAGGTTTCCTAGCCATAATTATAATTATACAGTCATCCAAGGTTTATGAGTTTAACCCCGAAATATACATATTTACAAACTCAAAATAATACGCGTACAGCTTCTTTAGTCTGACCATATGTACAGCGGTCAACGAAACCAACTCCCCTGCTTACTGTTTTGCTTTGTTCTTACCTTTACCTACAGCACAAAGTAAACTTTAATGAGCTACAGGCTCAGTAAGTAGAGCTACAATTACACAATATTATTTTAACATACGCATGCATCACAACATCCTAGGTAACTTATGCCAATCAATTCTTACACTTTATGCACGTGCACTATATGTCTCTAGGGCCCTCCTGGTACTGTCGCCGGCTTCACAATCTGACCACATGCCACTTTCTCAAATCACCATATCAGATTCCCCGTCATCACCCACCTAGCTCGAGGGACGGCCAGCGTATTCAAAATCACAATTTCTCAATATCACAATATGGTCTCTGTCATCACCCACTTGGCTCGAGAGACTTGCACGGTGATTAGTGCATAAAAATGCACCCTAAATACTACTTTTGATTTAAATAATATTAAAATATTTAAGCTTTAATTAAACAATTCTATTATTTTTAGTCAGAATATTTTTCATTGGAATTTGTCTAGTTGTTGCTTAATTATTTGCAGATAAAAAGCAGTGTAAAAAGCTACACAAAAATAAGCCGGAAAGCCATGTTTTCAACCACCCTGAGCCAAGCCTTTCAGCCGAGCAGCACAAGCCAATCAAAGAGAGAAAGAGAGAGAGCCGAGCAGCTTAGCCGAGCCACCATCAGCGCCGTGGGCCCCACCAGTCAGCGCGGAAATCTGTGCCTGTTTCTTCCCGCCATCTCGCGCCCCGAGCGTCAGCAGCACGTGGCACCTCATAGCGCGCATTCGTTCTCCGCGCTATCTCTGGCGCATCCAACTCCTCAGAAGCGTGGGTCTCGCGTGTTAGCATGCCAACCCAAGCCTTTCTCCGCGCGCGACATCTGTCCCCCAGCTGTCCTCCACTCTGACCGCGCCAGCACATGCCAACCACTCTGAGCGTGACACCTGGTAAACTGACTCCATATTCCAATTGTAATGCGACACGTGTCCCCTTGTGTTGAATCTGAATTTCATCCCTAAAAATCAGAGCAAATTACCAAATTTCCTCCTCAAATCATATTTAATTTCTCCTATTTTATGTGTAATTTTATTTTGTTTTCTTTTTCTTTTGTAATTTTCTACATATTTTTATTATTTGTTTCCTTATTTGATCGGTAACCTCTAAACACTATAAATAGAGGGGTTAGCCTAAGGTTTTTGAAAGTTTTTATTATTCAGTTTTCTGTCGTCTTGCTGTCACTCTCATATTTTCTCTCTAGAACTTATGAGAATGTTTTGCAAGCTAGGCTAGAGTTCTCTTGGTGAGGTTAGAGATGAACATTTGTTGAGTGGCCCAATTCGGGCTTTTGATTCCTTGTGCTATAAAGTTCAATATCTGAATGAATTAAATCTCATCTATCTTTCATTTATTTTTCAAAATATTATGTGCCAATTTTTATATAAGTTCAGTCACGCTTTTCTTATGTAATTATGTCACGCATTGTTTTGTTATTCAAATTATTTTACAAATTGTCTTTTATTGCAATATTGTCAAATTGATATATTGTCGATTTTGGATAACTTGTAATAATAATATTTTCAGAGTCAACATATAGATTTAATTTGTTCGATTCTTTTATTTTGTGAATCAAAACTTGAATTGGTAAACGAAACATTAGGGATTCTCGACACCTTACCGTTTTTACAACTAAATTTCCTTCATAAAAATTTTCTCCTTTTTATTTTAATTGCAACAAAAATCTCAAAAACTCTTCTTTTTCTTTAATCCAGTTGTTATTTATTTTTCTCTAACGTTCTTATTTTGCTAATCTTTCTTGTTTATTTTGTTACCTCTCTGTGGATACGACCGCCCTTCTGTGCTACAATTGACCGCTTGTGAACATCACTTTTGGGTGTTAATCACGCGGCTCAATCACAATTTCATCAATCACCATATCACAATACGAGTCCTCTGAGGACTTGGCAGTACCGGCCTATCATGCATGCTATTATGTGCTCAATCACAAGTAAGTTAATAATCCATGTGATGCTCTACTTCACTACAAGAAAAAGGGGTTTTTGCGACGACAAAAAGGCGTCACAAAAAACCGTATGTCATCACAAATAAAGTTTTTTGCGACGATCGTCGCAAATAAATTATTAACGACGACATAGTATCGTCAAAAATGTATTTGTGACGACATAGTGTTGTCGAAAATGTATTTATGATGACACAGTGTCGTCGAAAATGTATTTGCGACGACAATCGTCGCTAATGCGTTGTCGTAAATTTCTCGTGATATGATCCATTTTTGCGATGACATTTCAAATTGTCATCGCAAATAATCTTATTTTTTTTGCGACGACAAGTCTAAAAAAGTCGTCGCAAAAAAACTGAAATTAATTTTTTTTATAATTTTTAAAAAATGGCAATTAATTAATTTTTAATATTTTTAATTAAACATTATTATGTTAACGGTAAATCTAAATAAATTAATATTAAAAACAGTAAATCTAAATAAATTTATAAAATATATTATGAATACTACATGAAGTGCATATATAATGTTAAAAAAAATATAAAAGTCTAAATAAAGTGAAAAATAAAAAAGTACATATAACGGAACTAATCGTCTAAGTTTGCAACATCTCCAGCATCTGAATCATCATCAGGACTGTCATTATCTGAAGGAGGCAGAGGAGCGTCTAGGTCAACTAGTTCTTGGCGATCAATCGTAGGTAATTGGATGTTGGGCTGCAATTTAGCCATCAACTCTAACACCTTCACCTTATTCTCATAAATCTTAACTTGTTCCCGGTACGATTTCTTTAAATAACGACTCATACGTGGGTCAGGTTGAGCCGATGATGTTGCGTCTGAGTATGAACCAACAGATGAAGAAGAAGCCACAGAGTAATGCTTTTGGGAGAGCGTCGGACCCACTCCTATCTTATGTCCTCTACGCATGCCAAGAACTTGCTCCAAAACCCCATGCTTGTCTAAGGCAGGTCTATTCGAGCTTGAAGTAGACTGTGCCACAAAAATTTGCGTACAATATATTAACATAAGCATGCCTTCACAAAACATACACATTAACAATGTCACAAAAATTCACATAATAGCACACTAGACATTCCATAGAAAGTCTATCAAACAAAGTTTACAAGTGCTGCAGAGAAGTCATACTTTACTTACTTGAGTTGCTTAGCAAAATCTGAGTTGAACT